CAGAGGGACATTGTCCCAGCTGGGTGCATGGCCCCGCCAGCCCCTCCTGCACTGTGCACACACTGGCTGGGCTTGGTCCCAAGAACCTCAGATCCGGACGCCCAACCATGTACCCTGAAGGGGCAGATGGTGCCAAGCGTCCTGGTGGCTCCCTCCCGCTCCCACTCCTGTCTACCCATGGCCACCCAGTGACCTCAGCTGTCTCTTCAAGGTCCTGCCGCTTGTGCAAGAGACTGGAGTTCCCACAGCTCCTCGCCATTCCTGGCTGCACCCCCAAGCCCTCTCCTCTGCTCTGTCCTGGGGATCTCCTGCCTCTACCTCCCACATTGTGGCATCACACCCTTCCTTGTCCTGCTCGGTGGCCTAGCAAATCCCTCAGGGGAGTGTGGGCTTGGGCTACCTCCTGGATATCCTTGGAGCCCCGTCCTCTGCCCCTCCGCATGGTCCAAGGCCATGGGGAGAATCAGAAGCCACAGCTAATGAACAGGCAATTCCAGCAGCCATGGTGCCCTTAGAATGGCCATCCCGGGGACACAGACCTGAGCGTGCACTGCTCTGCGGCTGCCCAGCTCTCCCGAACCCACAGCAGAGGAAATGTGTGCCCTGTCACTGGCTGCAGACTCCATGCTCAGTCCCCAGCCGGGGCCGAGAGCTGCCCCAGCGGGCGGGCGAGTTGGCTGAGCCGCCTGTGTGCACGGGGTCCAAGGGGCCCTGACTCGCCAGTCTCGTGTGTGACAAGGAACCCACATGGGGGCTTGACACACAGATGGGCCAGGAGCCCAGCTGGGGAGGACAGGGAGGTGGACGCCCGGCCTCTGCTCCTGTGGGCCGAGTGACAGGGCACAGGGGCTCTATTTCTTTTTAACTCCATTTTAAGGTAAGGTCACTTAAGTTCACTTAAACTACAGATAGACTCACTCCCTCACCTCCTCCCAGGCAGCAAACCATACCCACTCAGAGAAAATGAGGGTCATGAAATAGCAACAAAGAATAGGGTAACCGTTGAAGCGCACTGCTCCAGGACGAGCAGGCGTAGCTTGCGGCTGCTGCGTGACACTGTTGCCCACAGTCACCAATCCCTCTCCTCACAGACTGCCGAACTGGAGCCCC